ACTTTAGAGGGGCCTAGGGTGATTTCCAGGTCTCAGATGCCCTGGGATTCCCATGCAAACCCGAAGCGGCAGCCGATTTGTTTTGGGTTGGTTGACTAGGGAAATCCACGTCACGTCTCAGATGCCCAGTGGATTTCCCATGGGGGAAAAAGGGCATCGGCATCCGATTTTTTTGGGCTGGTTGATTTCCCATGAAAACAAAAGCGGCAGCCGATTTTTGGGTTGGTGAACTTTAAAGGAATCGGAACCCTTCCCGAAAAAAAGTGGAAACAACGGGCACCACTGGGCAACTGGGGGTCTCTCTGTGTGTGTGTGTGTCGAAATGTGCGTAGAAGAAACAACAACATGATCCACAGGTCTTCCTTTTGGGTGTCCATATCCCAAACAAGGGTAGCAAAAAAGACCCATCCGTTTACCCGAATAAGTAACTGAGGGAACCACAGTTAAAAAACATAACTGGGCTGCCCTCAGATCTCCTGCTAAAAGTTAAAACAACTTTTAGTGGGTTTTGTGGGGAAACCTCCACGAAACGCTAAAAATATCAAGGGCTAAGGAACCGGATGGCTGGGAGCCACCAAGAAAAGGAGAATGGTTGGTTGCCGGCTGGGATCCACTGGCAGCCAGGTTCGGGGCTCAAACGGCCGGTGAGCTTCATAGAACACCAATTCGGTTCTTTGCACTTGACGAGATGGGCACGCCTGCTTTGCATCTGGCCAATTTTGGCCGCAAGTGTACCAAGCTTGGGCTGCGACCGAAAAATGTTCGTTCAACCGAACAGCGGTGCCACACCTTGGACCCTGACCTCAAAGACTAAAGACCATTTAAGGGGTGGCGGATCCAAATGTTCATCCACTGTTAGTCGGGGGCAGAGTCCAAGCCATACCCCCTTTTGCACCTTGCCCTTGGTCGACAAGACTGAAGTTTATGCCTCCAAATCAGCTGCCCCACTTTTACAGGGCAATCTGCTCAGAATGAACACCTGGTATTGAAGTGGGGATAACGCAAAACCACGAGGGCTACTTGGAGCGCCACCGATTTTTCCGGCTGGGACTGTCCAATACTCAACCTTCAGATACCCGTGTTGTGAGTGTGGCTCATTCAGTGACAACGGAGCCTACAAAGGTCAGAACAACATGTGGGGGTTGTCACAACCACCGTTGTCATATTGGATACACATTTTGAACACATCGGTTCTTTTCTGCAAGGCCAGAAATCAAGATCTACGATGGATGCAATGACACATGCCTGTGACCGTCCCATTTAGCCCCGCCATCGCCCTTTCGTTTGCCAGGGCCAAGTACTGTTGGAAAGGTTGCCATGAAAAACTACTGAATTCCCGACCACACCTCTAGGTTTTTCTTCTTCAGGTTGCCCTGACATGGGGGCCCGTCAAACCTCAACTACCTCAGCTTTTGTCCAACAAAACCAGCTTGAGTCTGGTCGTCTAGCGAACCGTCCTCAGCACCTGCCAAGGGCTATCTAGTTCTTTAGGCTTCCATTTGCTTAAGTCCACTGGACAAAATTAAAATACTTCCAGTAGTGACAGATTCCCTTTAAAACCATCAGGGGAAAATGAAACATGATTCAAGCGAATGGAAGTAGGGGATGTTCAAGGCCAGAAGACTGCCCTCAGCTCTCAGTCAGGTTTGGGCCGCTAAAGCAAGCGCTTTTCGCTGAGCGTCTCGGCTCAGCCCCGGGGTGGTGGGGCCCGACACCCCACAGAACTTCACCACTTTCAGCATCGAGAGCCAGACCTCGAAAGGGCAGATTCGTCCGTTCCACCGCTCCGACGGTTTTGAACGGAACGAACGCACCCTCAGATGCCCTTTGCTGATTTCCACGGGGAAAACAGACTCGGCATCCTTTTTTGGTTGGTTGACTTTACAAGCCTTCCCAAAAAGAAAGGAAACAACAGG